TTGTTACCAGGGTGAAGACTCTGATATGAAATTTTTGGAGCTTTTCGTAAATTGCCTTGAAGTTTCTCATCTTTAGAATGTAGATGATGAAAATCTCCCCAAGTAATATAACCAGCTGGACAATTATTAGAATCATCTTTTATATTAAATGTAAAGGATGGAAAGACAAATTTTTTACAGTGTAATAAATTATTTCTGATATTTTTAACAAGATGAACACTATCATAAAATAAGTATATTTTAGTATTTGGACTATCAGGATGATTAATAGAGAAATTTGATTGATTACCAAATTTGGAACGAAGCAAACTAAATGCACTTACATTCGATTTATGATTATCGGTAACAACACCTCGAATTTTAAAACCAGATAGCGAAAGAGAACTAATAGAATCGGATATTTGATCTGAAAGCCATTTACCACTTATGTTAACTTCAGGTATCGCTTTAATAATGAAAGGAATTGATTTTTTTAAACTAACTATCATAAATGCAACAACTCCTTTGTACAAAGTACCTGTATCATCTGCACCCACATAAATACCACTACAATATTGTGCTTGTTTCTGAAGATAAAATTCATCTACAATTAATATTACATCTTCATGTATTGAACCTTTCTCACGAAGTGTTTTAACAGCCTTAATTGCATCAACTCCACCTTGTTTTATTTTATTTAACAAAGAAATTGAAGGTAATGGAAATGATTCTAGTAAAATTTCATATGCTTGTTTAGATGTATATCTTAATAATAAAGCATGTCTAATCATATCAGCAGAATATTGTGGTTGACCCTTGGCTTTATAGTATGTTCGACTATTTATTTCATCAAGAAGTATATTTCTATTAGAAGAAGCGGTATTTTTTATGTACGCTGCAAGATTTTCTAACATACTCAAACTAGTTAATTTAGAATTACGACCTTTACATAACCATGGAGGAAGTGGAACATTATTTCCTTTATATTGCAAAGCTACACATAAGCAATAATCAATTTTTATTGATTCAAGAATTGATGGAAAAAATGTTATAGGATCAAATATTAAATTATAATAAACTACACAATTGAGATGTTTTTTAAATTTGAAACCTTCTGGTGAATGTTTAATACTTAGCATGGTCCATTCAGTAACTTTATCATTTTCAGAAAAAGAACTTAGTTCATCTTCTTGAAAAATACGACTTTTAGGAGGTCTTCTCAAAGCAATAAGCGATGGTAATGTGGAAGGACGTTTTAAGCAATCACTGGAGAAAATTTCAGGAATAGGATCTAGATTCCAATTTAACTTGCATTTTTTACCACGGATGATAAACTTTTCATTAAAATGCTTTTCACACAAAACGGAGTTTGGTGAAGGCACCCAATCAGTACGATTAACAAAATGAACCCAATAATTCAGTAACTGTTGATTTTTTAACGGAAAATGAAAAGAAGCAATTTTTTTATCTTCTAAAGAACTGTTGTATCCAGTTTTACAACCATATGCAACACACTTGTTAACCATGATATGATTCAGCTTTTTTAGTATTTATTAACTTTCTAAAACAGTTATTAAATATATATATATATATATATATATATATATATATATATATATATATATATAATATATATATATATATATATATATATATATATATATATATATATATATATATATATATATATAATTTGCAAGTTCTACTTATTATGCAAGTTGCTTTTTATTTTGCATAATATGCAAGTTTAAAATTAATAGTTTTATCATTCAACTTGTTGCCTTTTTTTGTGCGAAAATAGGCCTCTTAGAATCGGCCTCTAAAATGTAACATATAAGGCCGTATAATATAGTAGGCCATGGGTGAACACAAGTGTACATCTCATATATATATATATATATATATATATATATATATATATATATATATATATATATATATATATATATATATATATATATTGTAATAATATGTATTTAAGGTGTCAATTTTCTAATATTTTTCTAAAACTTTAATTCTTAAAATGTGTGCTTTAATTTTTCAGGAAACAATGAAAAAAAAAAGTTTGCTACCTTAACTCAAACCTTTCGCTGATGTAGCAGCACTCCTTGCATGTTCTACCTATTTAGTAAGTTGATGTATGTACTGAAGCTCACGCAGCTACCTATTCCAGTATGACATCATCATGGTGTGTCTAATACTGTATTCATACACTATTGTGTATATAGATGAGCATTTACTCATTTTTTTTGCTTACTTTATTCCATAAAAGATTCCTGCCCCAGCCCAAAAATCTTAGTTGATGTAGTAGCACTCCCTCGATATATGTACTGAAGCTCCTAGCAGGGTCTCAGACGTGACATCAGTCAGTCTGCTTGCCCAAACATGCAATATAAGTTATACACACATTTTATTTTACTGTTACAGTAGAATATAAGATGTGTTATAAAACTATTTTTAAAACTGAATACAATAGTTTTTATAATATATTTTTAATTTACATGTTTTTTTTACAATATAGACCCAGAAACAGTTAACATGTTTGATGATGCTTGGTCAGACCCCAGTTTTGCTGCTTATGTTTTAAAATCCTTTTTATTGGAATTACCAAACCCATTTTTATCAGAATTTATGTATGATTCATTTATAAATTTGGCATGTAAGTAACTTGGTGTTTTGTTTTATTTAAAGCTATATGATATATTATAATTATTTATGATAAATTAGAACAAACAAGGTTTTTTAGTTTATTTAAGTGTTATTTTATTCAGTTTATTTTTTTAATGAAATTTGATTTTTTTTTTTTTAGTAAAATTTAATAATAGTTTTTATGTTTATTTTTCAAAAAATAGTTTGTAATTTTACATTATTCTCAAATATGAAAAATAAAATAGTTAAAAAAAACTTTTTTTTTTTGAATAGATAAATAATTAATATACTAAAAATTGTTATAGTAAAAATTAAAAACAAAATACTTATATCTCTTGATAGAGTTCTTTGTAGGCTTCATATTTATTATTCTGAAAACATTTCATACTACATCAGCTTTCATACCTCATAAGTAGCATGTAAGAATGCGTGCATCAGTAACCTAATCCTTTGCTTCACACACAAAAAAAACTCTTTGCATCTTAGTAGTCATGCACTATAAATGAATTTTTAGTTATCCTCATTATGTAGTCATTTATTTTCTTTCTGAAGTCAACAAAAATTGAGCTTCAAAGAGGAAAAATAAAAGTTTATCTTTTATTACCATTGTGGAGAATATTTTTAAATTTGTTTTCGCACAGATATAAAATGATAGTTGTTTGATAAAATGGTAGTTATTTGATAAAATGGCAATTCTTTGATAAAATGGTATTTGATAGTCACTAAAAAATTTTTAATCTTTAAGAAACAAATGTTAGTTAACACATTTTAGTTTTTTAAATTTAAATTTAAATATATTGTATGAAGTTATGTAGAGTTTTAATATGAATTATTTTTTATCATTCAAAACTGTGTGTTATAATAATATAATAAACTTAAAATGTTGTTATCCAAAACAATTTTCAAAAAATGTTGTTATCCAAAACAGTTTTCAAAAAATGTTGTTATCCAAAACAATTTTCAAAAAATGTTGTTATCCAAAACAGTTTTCAAAAAATGTTGTTATCCAAAACAATTTTCAAAAAATGTTGTTATCCAAAACAATTTTCAAAAAATGTTGTTATCCAAAACAATTTTCAAAAAATGTTGTTATCCAAAACAATTTTCAAAAAATGTTGTTATCCAAAACAATTTTCAAAAAAGAAACGATATTCTACTTGCAGCTCTGCAAGTAGAACATCGTTTCTTTTTTGAAAATTGCAGTGAGAAATTATCTTAAATCAGTATGAACAATCGTCTATTTATATTATTTATTTATATTAATTATATATTTATTATTAATTATATGTTTATGTTTATTTATATTAATTATTATTTATTTATATTAATTATATATTACAAGAAATGATCTTAAATCAGTATGAGCAATCTCGAGATGATTTCAGAAGATTCCAAAATTAAACTTATAGCAATTTGCAGCAATATTTATTAAGTTAATGATGGATCTAAAGATGCTTTTAAAAATGCATTAAAACCTAGTAATGAACAAACCATCCTTTTTTTTTTTGGCTTGCATCAAAAAAAAATAGCTTTGATTGGAAGATCAAATGATGTTATATATATATATATATATATATATATATATATATATATATATATATATATATATATATATATATATATATATATATATATATATAGATGATCTTTCTCCGCTTTTACTCAAATCCGCTTGCTTTAAAATTGCCCCATCACACTGTGTCCTATTTAACCACCTCATACAAAACAGTTACTTACCTGCATTATTATCAGTTTCATTATCCATTGCACCAAGCACGTATGGGTCTCAAACAAATAGTTAGGTTTCCTTTCAGGACATTGTAAAAATGACACTATTATTCAAATTATAGAGGACTTGAGTTAAAGATAATAACAAATCAATTTTTGCAATATTCTTTGATTTTGAAAAAGTATTTGAATTTGTCAGTCATAACAAATTACTACTAAAGTTAATGAATATTCTACCTAGCTGGCTCACTTCCTGGATTGCAGCTTACTTATGAATTGCAGTTTACTTAAGGATTGCAGCTTACAGAAAAAAACAAAAAAAAACTAACAGTTCTATTTGTGTTAATAAGTTTTAGTTAATAATAACATAATAGAGCTCGACCCAAAAGGTGGTAGCTCTCCTTTAAAAAAGTGTTTCACTCTCATAAAAGACACGTCAAGAAATAAATCTAAAGAATGTTGATTGCCAGTAAATTAGACAATGGTGATTGTCCTGCCAGCCAAAATACAGCACCAGTAACATAAAATATTCAATGTTTTGCATACAAATCAAGGTTTCTTGTTGTATGCCCATTTATTTCAAAAGAAGATAAAGTAGCTAGCAAAACCACAGTTTCAAATTTTCTTCTCCCTTCAACTAAGAAAAACTTTCTGTTTTTTTGTGATGTCTGCTTAACTAACCTCGAAATAAGTCTAAATCAGAAGCATTGAGGCTGAACACTCTAGAATGTAATGTTACAGAAATCAAAACTGAGCTTAATGTAATAAAACAACTGTTAAAAAAATGCTCAAGTGATAGTATAACTTGAGCAATCAGAAAATAATAATTTGTGGTTTAACATAGAAAGGTTAAATACAGTGAAAACTCCAACACCAGATTCTCTCTTTAAGTTAACAAAGATAACATAGGTATAATCAAAAATATAGTCATAAATAAAAATATTCAATTGAAAAATCATTGTCTAGTATGTAACTCTGAAGAATCTAAAGGCTAATTATTGAATTCTCTCAAATATACGAACAATCAAATAAAAATAAAATCATATCAATTAAACATGCAAAAAATTATTATCAGTGGTTTATCTAAGAAATATAATGAAAATGAAGAAATATAATGAAAATAAAGAAATATAATGAAAAGAAAGAAATATAATGAAAATAAAGAAATATAATGAAAATAAAGAAATATAATGAAAATAAAGAAATATAATGAAAATAAAGAAATATAATGGAAATAAAGAAATATAATAAAAATGAAGAAATATAATGAAAATAAAGAAATATAATGAAAATAAAGAAATAATATAAAGAAATAAATATAATGAAAATGAAGAAATATAATGAAAATAAAGAAATATAATGAAAATAAAGAAATATAATGAAAATGAAGAAATATAATGAAAATAAAGAAATATAATGAAAATAAAGAAATATAATGAAAATGAAGAAATATAATGAAAATAAAGAAATATAATGAAAATAAAGAAATATGATGAAAATAAAGAAATATAATGAAAATAAAGAAATATGATGAAAATAAAGAAATATAATGAAAATAAAGAAATATAATGAAAATAAAGAAATATAATGAAAATAAAGAAATATGATGAAAATAAAGAAATATAATGAAAATAAAGAAATATGATGAAAATAAAGAAATATAATGAAAATAAAGAAATATAATGAAAATAAAGAAATATAATGAAAATAAAGAAATATAATGAAAATGAAGAAATATAATGAAAATAAAGAAATATAATGAAAATAAAGAAATATAATGAAAATAAAGAAATATAATGAAAATAAAGAAATATAATGAAAATAAAGAAATATAATGAAAATAAAGAAATATAATGAAAATAAAGAAATATAATGAAAATGAAGAAATATAATGAAAATAAAGAAATATAATGAAAATAAAGAAATATGATGAAAATAAAGAAATATAATGAAAATAAAGAAATATGATGAAAATAAAGAAATATAATGAAAATAAAGAAATATAATGAAAATAAAGAAATATAATGAAAATAAAGAAATATAATGAAAATGAAGAAATATAATGAAAATAAAGAAATATAATGAAAATAAAGAAATATAATGAAAATAAAGCAATATAATGAAAATAAAGAAATATAATGAAAATAAAGAAATATAATGAAAATAAAGAAATATAATGAAAAGAAAGAAATATAATGAAAATAAAGAAATATGATGAAAATAAAGAAATATAATGAAAATAAAGAAATATAATGAAAATAAAGAAATATGATGAAAATAAAGAAATATAATGAAAATAAAGAAATATGATGAAAATAAAGAAATATAATGAAAATAAAGAAATATAATGAAAATAAAGAAATATAATGAAAATAAAGAAATATAATGAAAATGAAGAAATATAATGAAAATAAAGAAATATAATGAAAATAAAGAAATATAATGAAAATAAAGAAATATAATGAAAATAAAGAAATATAATGAAAATAAAGAAATATAATGAAAATAAAGAAATATAATGAAAATAAAGAAATATAATGAAAATAAAGAAATATAATGAAAATAAAGAAATATGATGAAAATAAAGAAATATAATGAAAATAAAGAAATATGATGAAAATAAAGAAATATAATGAAAATAAAGAAATATAATGAAAATAAAGAAATATAATGAAAATAAAGAAATATAATGAAAATGAAGAAATATAATGAAAATAAAGAAATATAATGAAAATAAAGAAATATAATGAAAATAAAGCAATATAATGAAAATAAAGAAATATAATGAAAATAAAGAAATATAATGAAAATAAAGAAATATAATGAAAAGAAAGAAATATAATGAAAATAAAGAAATATGATGAAAATAAAGAAATATAATGAAAATAAAGAAATATAATGAAAATGAAGTTGTTAATATGCTGCACACATAAAACAGTTTTATACAAGAATTTAGCAAGGTGAACAACATCAAAGATCATTATAAAATAAAAGCTATCAAACCGATAAAAAATAAACCATCAATGTTTCAAGTGTTTGTGAAAGTAAGTAAAATATTACGAGAAGTTTTCAATCTTATAATAACAAACACTTGGATAAAGTTCTTGCAAAATGTATGACAAATTCAATGTAATGCGTTGTTTTAACTGTCAAAACTTTGGACATTTTGCAAAAGAATGCAAGAAACAAGAACCAATATGTGCTAAATGTAGCAAAAAACATTGAACTGATCAGTACTCTGCAATGGATAAAAATTGTGTCTGTGTTTTAGATGGACAAAAT